TGAGACGTAAGGCGGGGTTTCGAAATGAAGAACAGAGACACGGGCGCAGGGTGGAGGAAGTTTAATGCCATCCACTCTCTGAACAAGATCAGCGAATGTGGAGCCTTAAAAGTAGCGGTCTTCAATCTAAAATTTAAAAAATATAAAGCTCTCGCCATGCTTACGTGCACGCCAGCTACGTCAAATCCGGTGAGATTCCCACAGTGCTTCTCAGTGCAGGAGGCAAATGCCACCGGTGGGCATAGCTTAAACACACAAATTTCTTCCATGCCTGGTTAGGTCTCTGGAAACCAGTTTCTTCACATTCTTACAACCAGAGAAGAGACTACAGTCTTTAACAGTACGTAAAATGTTTTTTACAGAAAAGGTATTTCATATTTACATCCGACTCTGAAGTCTTCTTTAGCTCTGAAGAAGACTGTGTACACAGAAATGTTTAACATACACATTTAACATACAACATTTTACATGAACTAAAGTTGACTATTGTATTCAGTACAATAATAAATACAAATAAAATCTAACAGCTGACAGTAAACAAAAGAGTACAAGTGTTTTTTTAAAAAGTGTTTTAAACTTGAACAGCCTTGATTTAAAAAAAAAAAAATAAAAAATTACTTTGCTTTTTCCTTGTCAAGCTGCAGCTTCAAAAAAAGCAATTAATCCATCTTGATCACAGCCATCCAGAATTTCCAGAAGAAGAGGAACTTTAGTTTTCACATTGGTGCCTTTAAATTTAAATTTATCTATGAAGAGATCTGTGATCATACCTGCAAAGGTGAAACCCCGGGAGACTTATTATTTGCCTTGCTTTCATTATGAGGTATCTCTACTTGTAACCCGTTATTACGTACAACTATTCTAGTTGATTCTAGGTTTAAAGACAAGACTCTTTTTAAACTTGTCATTTAAAACCACGTTTCATTTTTCATCTAATCCAAAACACTGTTAGAAGAGCCCAGACTCCTGCTTCACTCCAACGTGTATTTCTGCTTTAGAATTACCCACGTGTGAAACAGCACAGAGGGAGGAACTATCACAGGATGGGTAAAGAGGACTTGGCTTGCGCCGTATGGGCACAGGCTTATTCAAGCTGGTGTCTGAAAGCTGCGCAGGGAACGCCAGAGCTTAGCGAATTCCCTTTGCTAAATTAGATCATCTCCTATGAGTCTCCTTTCCCACCCCACGTACATTTCCCTGTTTTTATGATGTTCTGCAAAACTTAACCACGGAGAACTTCATCGCTAATTTAACTTGTGTGCAGTCTTAAATCACCATCCTGAGTTTGAATACGATCCATAATCACATCCATAGCAACAAGGATCATCCGAATGTACGAAGCTGTCCATTCAACAAAAAGTAGAAAAGTCACTTGCAAATAATCCTGGTGTTTCCATTCTCAGTGATATGTTCACGACACCAAATCAACTTTGTAAGTTCTTAGATGAACAACTCTCGAGAACCTTTAGAGAGTTACTCAAAGTTTGTACTACTGTAAAAGCCATTTTCAGCATGTGCTAGGTTTTTCTTTTTTACCTTTTAGATTTTTACCTTTAACCTCAGGTTTTTATGAAAAACCACTGTAAATATGCAGCCTTGGCTGTGTGACCAGACAGACACACATAGTTACAAACCTACTGACCCAAAGCTACCCAGAGGTACACACTTTCAAATTATTTGGATTCTGCTAATACTGACTTCATAACATTTTGGTTAATGTCACGCATGCTCTCTGGACATGAAGCTGCATTTAAATAAAAATTCGAATTGACCAACAAACCATAAAGTCTTTCGAGATGGGCAGGTTGTCTCTTGTATTCCTCAAGAAGCTGATCTGCCTCTTCCAAAATGCTGCGGTATTTTGGTAGCAGGAAGTCCACATTTCCTTCGTGAACTTGTAATTCCTCAAAGACATTTTAAATCATAAGAATTAACAACAGTTAAGTATCATATGAGCATAAAAGTAAGAGGAAGTTAAGCTTGGGTTTGACAGGAGGAAATACTTCAGAGACAAGACAATCCTCTTCTCAACCAGCAAGAGTTATTTTCCAAGTATGTCATTTTCTAGTCTTCTAATGCAATGCCAGACATTACTTGTCACTTCACAGCCCAGATTCTCACAATCCTGTGTATTACAGCTTCCAGGTCCGAGCACTGCCAGCACAGGATCACGACACAGCCCAGCCCTTACAGAATCAAGCCTCAAGGAAGGCTCAAAGCCTTTGCCATGTCTTCATTTTTAGAATAAATAAATTCCTAGAAAGTGTAGCACATACTGAAGTCTGAAGCTAAAAGGAAACTCTGAAAAAATCGCTCAAGTTGTGAGGGCAAAAAGTTTTACAGGCTGCTTCTAAAATGCCCCAGTCTACTGCCAGACCAATTTAAGAAGGTCTACAGCGCAGATCTTTTTATCCTCCCCCAGGAAGACTGTTCTTCTCTAGACAGAAGGTAATTACGCTATGTACTGTGAGTCTGCTTGGATAACAGCCTTCATCAGTCATCAGATTATTTTACTGCTTATGAATAAGTTATTATCCAAAATGATGTGACTAAAAAATCTGTCAAAAAAAGATTTGTCGAAGAAGATTTGCTGCCTAAAAAAAGCCCAAACCAATCAAGATGTGCAACATCATTATTATTGTACAAACACAATATCCATGAAGAAGAAATTCCTGATTTTTCTCTACCTCCCTGGTTTGTCAAATCAAGTCCAAATAAAACACTTACAGTGATAAGAAAGATACACACTCATTGGTATATCCTCATACTGGTATATTGGTACTCAGTTTTTCTACTAACTGAAGGTTCTGACAACTAGTATTTCATTCCCCAAAGGACAAGAGAGAACCAGTTGTCCATTTTCATTTCCTCTCGCCCTCAAAAACCCCTAAAACTTAAAGAGATGATGGTGAGTTTTTGACAGTAAAATCCTGGTTGGTAGAAAAAGTCCAAGAACTGAGAGAAGCTGCATAGCTGGTACCTCCCAAAGACTAACTGTTGAAGATGATATTAAAGAAAAGGTTAAGAAGCAGGCAGTTCAGAAATTATGACACATTGGGATGAAGTTCCAAAGCAAGGAAGTCACTTCTGGTCTGGATGATCATCCCCAGATCTAAAAAACTTTTAAAGGTTAGTGGAAAGAGACAAAGAAGGAACTGGAAAATAGAGCAAAACCAGGACGTTCGACGATAAAACTGTCTGCCTTCACTCCCCAATTTAAGCATCCTCAACATCAGTCAGTAATCCTACACATTTTTGACTAGTTATGGAATACAAATGAGAATTTTACTTGAAGATGTCTGTCTCCTAGATAATTAAAATACAAGTCCAGGGAATACAAGTGGAATAGACACCAGTATGACACACAGCTCACTTGAGCCCTACAGCTTGGTATCTGACAACATAATCCCCCATAAAAATCCTTCCACAGGAGTTCAGATACTTACTCTCAAAGCATCTATTAAGTGAACCTTCTTGGCCAACAGCTGCTGATACTCTAATTTAGGGTGGATAAGCTTTAATGTGTGCCTCACAGATTCTTCATTTATATCTAGCAGAGAGTAAAAAAAGAAAAACCAGCAAGCAAACAAGTACTGCATATTCCATTTAAGAGAAAATATAATGAAGGACAACAAAAGGGAGGAGAAAGTTTTACCATATGATATGTTGAGATTAATCTTCCTTTTTGTAGCCTCTTTGGAAAGCACATCTTTTAGGATGGATATTGTAGAAATGTTGTCAGACTTGAAGCATCCCTCGCCTTTTCTATATAAAGGAAAAAAAAAACATGAAATGAAAAAACTTAAAGACACATGCATGCCTTGGGCTTGTCCCTACTTTAAAACAGAAGGCCTGTAAAGTAATACTCAAGTCAAAGAAAGCAACCTCTATAAAGGTCGTAACAATTCTCCATGTATAAGGTGGCTGCATACACACCCATGCTATTCCCTCCTGTGCAGCAATGTCCTGACAGGGAACAGTTTCTTCCAGTAAACAGGACAAAGCAACATACACAAATCTCAGGTACACACAAAGCAATTATCTTTACTGTATGGCACTAAGGTTATACAAGCTAAGACTTTTTCTCTCTCCATTCCTCTTAAGTTTTATCTTTGCAATGCTTTGAAGTTGAAGCCACCACCCAACAACTTTCTATATGAGGAGCACACAACATGTGTGGGAGCAGACTGGAATCTGTATAATTAAAACTATTTTTCCCCACTTGACAGTTCCATTTTCAGGTGGACATATATAATTTAGTGAAAGAAAATGTAATTAATTAATTGGAGAAGAGAGTAAACACTTAAGTCATATTTGCCTGATGTAATAAGCATCATAAAAAGAAAGTTTTCAGATTAATGCTTATCGCATTTTTGTTTGCCTGAGTATTAAATGCCTTGTAAGTTATTTTTGCTCTTCAGTACAAAAAACCAGGAAGCTAGGCAACAGTAGGCATTACACAAAAATTTCACTCTATTAGTTAGCTATGTTCTTTACATTCTAAAAGCAAGCCATCATCTTAAAGATGTACCAAGCCTCTCAATTTTGTTTTTTGGATCAGCTTCCAGAGAAACCATATTCAAGTTACAGACTGCATCATTACTGGATAGTGCTCATCCCTGGTAATGTTTGACAACCCTTTATAAGATAAAGACTCTTGTTCTCTTTAATGGGAATTTTGATGTGGCTGAGGGTGGAGAGGTGAACAGTGCATGAAATGGTACTCACAGACTGGTCAAGAACAAAAAAGACAAATGCCCCAGTATAGTCCTCTTGTGCTTCAGTAATTGTATTTTACCTGTAAGTACTTTCAAGCTGTGTACCCAGGAAGGTGTTCTGAAAATAAAAGGTGATACTCTCTCCAGCAGGAGTCTTTTCAGGCACTTCAGGCAAGCAAAACGCCACCCAGGAGTGAATTTCAGCAAAACTGAACTGGCCTTTGAGCATCAATGTGTTCATGGGTCTGTGACATTATGAAATAAATAAAAAAGAACAGTTAATAGTTATGAAGGTGAGGCACTGACTGTGCACTGATTATCCACATGAAAAAGTTTAGTTCCACACGGTGGTTTCCTTTTAATCAACACCTTGTAAAAAGTCAGTTATCTTGCCAAGTACTTACGTATTGCAGGGTACAGCTACTTTTCTGCATTTCAAGACAAAACAAAAAAAAAGCTCACTGTACATTCCAGTTTTATTTCCTAGTAGGCATGTCAGAACTGGGTAAGAAACCAGTTGGAAGTTCTTAACATAGCCTGTTTCAGGTTGTTAAACCTGAACGTTGTAACAAAGGTAAATAACTGACAACACGGCAAATATGACAAGAGCCTCATCAGCCTGCCCCGCTGCAAGCCACAGACATGGCATTTACATCAAGAACCGAGCAATAACGGAGCTCATTTGCACATTAAGTAAAAGCATTTGGCATCATTCCATCCACCTTTCAGTTTTGTTTGGAAGCGAGCAACGCCTTAAGGCAAGATGTTAAGTGAGGGTAGGGAAAAAACAAGTAGAAACTGCAGAGAAGAGTAAGTCCCTAACAGACATGAGGGGCAGAAGAAGTTTTGGCTCAAGTTTGGAGCCAGATTATCTATGGGAAAGAATTACACTAAGAGGGTGTGGGAGAGAATGAGGCTGAAACTGAAAAGACTGCGGTTGCTAACACAGCGGAGTTTCCTTTTTACCACACCCTCAGCTCTACTAACACACAGGGCTGCACTACAACCCAGGTCATTAAAATAAAAAATAACCTGAAAACAAGGTTGAAGTATGGCAAGGCAAGCAGGAAAACATTAAATCTGCATTTTCTGTCAGAAAACCCATACGATGGAACCAAAGGCTCAAAATTGCAAGTTAGGGGTTAGAAATTACATACTTAGGTTTATATAGCAAACATTGTTTGTTTCACCTGGATTGTGTCAGTTTTTCAAATGAGAAAGGCATTAATTTTTCTTGGTAAATACCTGTCCTGGTCAATAGAATGAGTTCTTTGATGAAGTGAAAGCGGTTTAATTTGATATTGATGAACTTGGCAGGTTTTTGGTTGAATTCTTGGAGTTATGTATGCCTGAAGTGTCCCGTACTGCCCTTCAATCGATCGAACCTTCAGAAGAAAAAGCAGAACCCACAAGAAAGAACAAAAGGGAAAACTCTGATTTACCACGAGTTGGCAAATTGGAGGCTATTTAAAAAACATTAAAGAAAGACTGTGGTACTTCAAGAATATTTCGAATCTTGTATTTACTTGATAGTGCCACTATAAATAGAGCAGATCAAGAGTATTTTAAAACTAGATGAAGTCACGTTCAATTAAGTACTGCTAAATAAAACTCACAAAGTTACTTTCCCATCAGTTAAAATATAAAGTCTGTAACTTGCTTCTAGTTCTTGAGTGGCACACTTTTATTTTTTTTTTAATTAAGGAAAAAATACATTCTGTAGACCTGGCAGCAAAGCATAGGTCAAAGAACTTAAAAGATTAAACTCAATTTCAAAATATGTTTGTCTCTTCATAACAATCAAAGTTCTCCCTCAGCTATTTTTGGAAAAGAGACCAGATGTAAGTTCAAGTCTCAGAATAACCAACAAGCAGGACGAACAAACACATTCAGGACACGGTACGCACTCTCTGCACCTCTGAGGACACGGCACTGCACCAACCACTTCTCTGCGGAGCCCACTTACACAGACTGCACTAAGAAGTCTGCAACTGGCACAGAACCAGCCAGAAACAGGAGGGTCCCACTTACAGCATCAACACAGCCATGACAAGTAGGCAGAAAAGCTACTCAAACAGCTTTATACAAACAAAAGAGGAGACTGGAGTTCAAGTACAGGTTTGCTTTATAATCTTGATTATCTGCCCTATTTTACAGGGTATCAAAAAGCAGTGTTTTGCAGGAAGATATCCACGTCAATGTTTTTAACGGTAATAAGTTAGTAAAGAGTTCTCTTTGGAAATAAAATCACCCAGACTTAGATACTGTATCATCTCCACGTGCCTAGACCAAATACAAAAAGAGAAAACTCCACGTGGCAGATGCGCATCACCGGAGATCCTCAGTGTATCCCAGCGAGGTGGCAGGAGAACCTGTGCAGATCGAATCCCTCATGTCAGGATCCAAACGCCAGAGTGACAGTGCAGTGATGACACACGACAGCAAGTTTAGAAATGTTTCTAGTGGGAGAGTAAAACGCTTCTCTTTTTGTGTACCATAAATATATTTGATTCACTTTTCTTGTGTTATTTACGCTCTATCTAATATTTCCAGTATTAAAAGTGGACAGGGTCATACTCCTGAATTAAGAGGACTGAGACAGGGGGAGATCAAGTTACCTACTAACAGCATTTCTTAAGGGAACCTTGGAAATAAAGAGGTTTAATATGTTGCATCCTAGGTCCATTATTGCAACCTCACCAGAAAACAGATAACCGCCTCCAACTTTCCCACATTTCATGCATTTATTTATGTAAAATTTGCTGATTATGTTTATGCACTTCACATAAATAAATGTCTATCAGATTAGGAGGCTGTGATGTCAGGTGACTACATAAAGAGAAAAGCTAGAGCCTGTGGGGATGTTGAGGATTCTTCTAATCATCATTTCCTTCCTTATTTCACCTGGTGAGAGCCATAAAACGTGTGAATTTGGCAGATCAGTAAAAACAAACCCCAAAACACCCTCGTGCCTTTAGTGTAACAAGCATGGAATAACTGGATTTGCTTCCTCTGCAAAATACAAATGCAGGCTGGATTCCCTGGTTACTTCCCAGTGAAACATCCCTCCAACCCTTCTGAGGACACCGGGTGCCAGAGCTCGCTTTCCCACACCTCTCGCCGCTTGAAGTCTCACACGCTGTCTCCTGAATCCAGTATTTTCATGATCTGCAATCTCCCCACTGCTTTCATCTTAGGGACACTCTAGGAAAGACCCCAGGATGACCTCTGAAGAAGCACATTTTTAGAAGCCTACAAACTCTACAGAGAAATTATAAAGGAACACAAGCCCTAGATTAGAAGGTTCTCAGGAAACAACCAGCAGTAGAAATTGGACTAATTTCTAGCAGTCAGTCCAGGTAGAGATCTCTCCATTCCTAAGCAGACACCTACATAAGCATTAATGCATTATGGAATAATACAAGCATTTTAATATAAGCATTTTACCTTAAGTTCAAGTCTCGTAGTATTTGCTTGGCATCGGTAAGTCGCAAGAAGAAAGTTGCTATTTGGCTGTAAACGGAAAAAAAAAAGTTCAAAACAGGTCTGTGGATTTACAGAAGTTCAACTAGCCTGGTTTAACTGTAGACATGTACAATTTTTTGCTATTTATCAGCAGTGATTTTACAGAAGCTAACTAAAAAAAAAGTAATCTTTGGTTCAAAAGTAATCTTTGGTTCCCTTGAACAATCTACCTAGTTTTAATTATGGCAGAAGTCAAAAAAATTCTCTACATAATGAGAAATCACTGAAGCTTCTTGTAGTCTTTAGTAACACCGTAAAAATTACACAGATATCTACTTTTAATCTGAAGAATGCATGTTGACCTGCTCCACTCATCTGTAATACTAGTCCAACATCCAAAACCTTAAGCAAGATCCATAAAAACACACCAAAAAAAGTGCTAAATGACAGGATAAATGACAGGAAACTTAAAAGTAAAATGCTGATTTCTGAAAGCTCCAGGGTAGACCAATGACATGCAAATTTCATTCTTAAAACCAAAATACTTAAGAGGACCATTACAAGGAAAAAGCCTCCACAGAAGATTTTCATAATGCTAAGGTAGTTTCTGGATTTCCCCCCTGGCCCTAAGGATCATTAGTAATTCTGTAAGTATTTAAGTTTGTAATTATTATACAAAAAATGCACTTAAACATATGACTCCCCACACAGCAGAATTTTCATGTTCTAAAATGATTTTTAAGGGATGAACTAAGTAAGAAATACAATGTTCTTCACCGGAATTACTTGAGACTAAGTCATTGGGGCAAATGCAGAGAAGAGGCCAATACTGAACGTGTCTTTCACACTCCTGATCAGGCAAGAAATGAAATGCAAGAGAGCATTTGCTCCTGGATCTTTCTGTGCATATTCAGGTTTGCCTGATGTCCGGACCTGCCACTAACTCCTAGTGCTGCAGTATCTCTAACGAAGACGAGCTCTCCAGAATTACCAAATGAGTAGTTTAATTCCATATATTTAACATTACAAACACGTAAACCCCAAATCAACTTCTAATATACAGTATTAAGAGCTTTCATCATGCGATCTCTATAAATACCACCTCTTTTGTTTCACTTACCTCAGAATCACAGCTGCTAAAACTAACAACGGCAGAATTTTTATCCACATCCAGCAAGTCTATAGGGACATCACTCTGCGGAACACATAGGGAAGAAAAATAAAGAGCTTAAAGGCCCTGAGCAGCTTCTAATGCATTTATCCTCTAACTGTCATCTATTATTTTAATAAAGGACAGGCAAGGATTGCTTCACCCAAAGAAGTAAAAGCCTAACAGACACGCAGCTCGCTACTTAATTCCCGAGAAACATGATGATTTCTTTGATGGCGTTCTGAACTCTTGAGCGGCTGCCTTACAACAACTTCGGTGTAAGACGTGTAACCATCTTTCAGACATGAAAGTCTTCTTCATCCATATGAATGACATGTATCAACGGTTGATACGTTTCCCTTTTTTAATCAGGGGATTACAATGTTCATGCAGGAAGCCAAGGATCATATTACATAACTTTTAATGATCCTTTTACTTACGACACTTCTGACACAGATCACTTCTCATCTAGCTGTGCTTTCATTGAAGTCAAATCTAACACTGCTTTAAAAAGTACATTAAAGAGTATTAGAATGATTAATTACTTGATTTGATACTGTTTTATAACTTCACGAAGCGTCACAAGACATTGATAAATATGCAACATACTTCCTAAAAAAAAATTTTAAACCCAGTTTTATTGTCTTCTCACAGCAGAGGAGTAACAGATAATGCTTGAAGTTTTAAACACTATATTAAGTTCTGGGCTAGATTAAACAATTTCATTATTCCTCATTCAGCTATAGAGCTGCCTGTTAGCTGTAGTTTAGCATTGCTCTAATAACATCCTTAATAAAAATAAGACCTTTATTAACAAGTGAAAAATAAAATGCTACAGTAGTTCTCTCCCATTTGTTATGGCAAATTCACCTCAAAAAATTCCTCCTGGTCAAATTTTTCTGCCCATGCACATCCCAAAAAGAAGGTAATTCAGTACCACTACTCTTTGTGACCACCAAAGACAATATTAATTTCAGTTCATGCAGTAGGAGGAATAACTCATTCAAGTTGCTCTACTTGGCAGAAATATTTATCACCAATGGCACACAAATCAGAGGCTGTTCCACACTGACAGTGCACAGGCGGCCCATCCCATTCTAAAATTAATTTTCCACTACTGAGGGTACTTAACTGGTGAGGAAGAATCTGCACCTCATTTAAGACTTACTGAGTTAATTGGTCTTTAAATAAGGAGGGACATCCAAAAGTAAAGTTACGTAGAAACCAGCTAGTTCAGACGGCACTTTGGTCTACTTTCGTTCAGTAGGCACTTTGGTCTACTTTGGCAGCAGAATGTTGCTCTGTCCAATAAAGGTTTAAGTTCCATTTGTTCCCTAACAAGCACTTAAAACAGCTACTTCCCCACACTTCTACTCCCTCCAATAACAATTCAGACATTTAAATCCCCATATACTTAAGATATCATAACTCAACTCTTTAAATAGAAAGTCTCGGAATGTTTTTACACATTGAGGAAGCTGCCAAGAACAAAACCACTCTCACCTGTACCAGCACATTATCTATGGCTGTCTGCACCTCCAAGATGAGGCTGTAGCTAGCATCATCCTTATTTAATGTAAACTTGTCGTTCACACTGAAGGCAGGTACCGATGAAACAGCAGTACTGGACTGAGAAGACTGCTGGCATTTTTCACGTTCCTGAAGTACTTTGATCTGTAAGTGTTCCAATTCATTTCTAGAAAAGGGAAACCACTATAAAAGCTACTTCAGAAATTAAGTAGATTAAGCTTGCAAGGTAATCATGTTTATCTTCTGTCCACAATTTTCCAGCTAGAAGTGACTGCTGACTCCCATGCATACGAAAGATAAAATTTATATCCCATGAAAAGGTAGATTCTACTGTGCCTTGACTAAAGAGATTTCTATAAGTCACAGGAAAGGACAACTTGTTTCTTTCAAGACTACAATGCACTTGGAATTATATGCTAGTGACTACTTTCCTCCCGTCACTGGGAAGCTATAAGCAGCACTGAGGAAGGGAATCTTATCTTGCTGATTCTGAGGAAGGTGGCATTAAGGCAAGGCAAGATAGAGACTGTGAAATGAGGCTGCTATTAATTTCTCCTTTCAAAAGGCTTGAATCTATTTCTAGATACATTAGCAATACAGAAAACCCAGTGAGATAGAAAGGAAAGACGATATTTCAGCTTTTAACATTTCAATTCTTCCATTTAAATTTCTTTCTAGTGCAGTTACCTTAAGGATGAAATCTTGCTCTGCATTTCTTGACTTAATTTTAGTTCTTCACCTGATCCACCTTCTCTATGGACAGGTTCTGTAGTCAGTCCTGTCAGCCAGCCTAAACCAATATATGAAGTTTATATTCCTTATAAGCTATAAAGAAAAGTCTACACTCAACTATTGTACATGTGGAAGAAAGTCTGTCCCAGATATTGGGTAGAGAGAATGGAAAATTTAATTTAATCCTTTCTTTGGAGGATTAATTGAAAGACTGAGCATGATTTTTTATGAGCTTCATTCTTAACATCACTTATTCTTTTTCTGAAGTACTTCAAATAATAAGTCCCTCTGCGGCAGTTTTTAACCGAGTGCTTACATTTTTTCCCACCTCTCATTCTCTAACAAAACCTTGAATAATTGCCAGTACTAGAGCTGAAAACAAAACAAAAAGCCATGCAACGTGTTTAGAGCAAACTATATTTTGCAAAGTGTGCTTTGAGATTGAATGCTGCCAGCTGACATGAAAAGAAAAATCTTGTTTACTTAATTACATTTACTTATAAAACAAATATTAAGTGATTATATCCTGACACCTCAGGTTTGATACACAAACTGGAAGGGGTGTTTATTGCTCTAGTTACCTCATCTAATGCACGCACACTGTAAGACAGGATTATTATCAAATTCACCACAAAAGCTGACAAGTCTACAGTTTTCACATTCCTTAGCTATCTACTTCAAGTAGCAAGACACCCCAGGAATGGAGCATGAACTTTAAAATATCAACTCAAGTCCTATGCTGCCAGGCTTGAAACTGAATTTTCACTGCTCTAAGCATTTCTTCTCCTGACCTGTCGAGATCTGCCAAACTCACAGAGCTGCACATCCTGCCAGGGTTTATCTTTGAAAACCCACAGGTGAATACGGACTTTTACTTTTCTCTTTCATATAAGATTGACATATCCTTATAACATGCCCACTAAAAGAAGCCACAAAGGACTTTGGCCACGGTATTGTTGCAGCCTATAATAGATCTAAAACAATTCATGTGAGATGAGGTATGAGAGTCTTTTGATCATCCAAACACTATATAAAAGAGGTACTTGAATCCCATTGCTTCTCGTTCACTGACTGAGAATTTTATCTTGACAAAATAGATGATTTTGAATACAATGAGTTTCAATATTTAAGCCCTATGAAGCTGAAAAGGAAGGAAAATACCTAAAGCATGGGAAAACAACAAAAAAAACCCAGAAATAATTCCTTCAGACATAACATATTCATTATTTCAGCACAGGCAGCAGTGTACACTGGAGAACAAGCAGCTACTATGTTACACAGCACAACACATTATGAGTATCTTAAAATGTGGAAACATAGGTTAAGTGTAAGAAGTATCTTTTGAAGTGTCAATATTCAATTAGAAGAGAGCTTTTTAACAGGACATAATCCTGGTTCCAAAGAGAATTTCAGAGATGTGAGCTGCGCTAACCACATAGCCTGCTTCGTTTTTATCACATCAGCAGACGTGACACTGATGCAGTAAATCTGATGAAGCTCACCTGAATATGTGGATGCTACGATTTCATCGTATCCATCTTTTCCTACACAGCCACCCTGGACTGATGCAATGCTCTCTGATAAAGCCTGCAAGCAATACATTCAAGCAGAGGGAAATATCGCTGCAATCATTCTAGAAATCTGGGGGGGGATTATGGGGGTTTTAAGGGTTGTGCTCCTCCTACCACCTGCCTCACAAAATACCTAGGTAGAAACACAGTATCTAGACCTACAAAATCTTAAGCTAGCTGATGACCATCACACCTAAATCAGGGCATTTTAACAAATCCATTCGGATTCTACTCTGCATAAGAGACATTAAAAAGTAGTTTAAAGCAAAACACCCATGGATAGTATTTTTCAATCAGGCTCAAGGCTGAGATAATCACTACAGATCAAACCTATGTTTTTAAACAATTCATAACCAAAAAGAATTATGCTCAATAAAGTCCTGACAGCTCACATCAATTATTTCATATGTAAAACACAGCCTATACAGAACAGGTGGTTGTTTTTCCACTGAGAGAGAGGCACTGTATTAGGTTTGATTCTGGAGAGGCTTCAGCAGTGCGCAGAGTTAGAACTTTAACATACCCTCTACACTATTTTGATTTTTGCTCTTATCAGGACTATTTCACTTTCTGGTTCTTAACTGTTAGGATACTGCTTCAAAGTTCATATTGTCAACATTACAGAGCTCATCAAATATTTTAATAGAAAATCTTGTAAATACTTTAAGTTTTGAAATATAGTGTTTTTTTAAATTGATTTTTCCAGCAAAGAAGAGTATGATGAATGTGGGCTTACATGATCATATCGAAGGACGGGATCATCTGCACTCTCAAAGCTATAGATTTCTATTGCTCCATCATCTCGTCCAACAAGTAATTCCTTAACTCCATCTCCCAGAATGTCAAAACTATCAACACATAGGATACCTAGTGAAAAAGAAAATATAAACGTTTACTTCACCTTTATTTGTTTACGACACAGTAAAACAGTTACACAGATTCTTGGTTCCCTTTTAAGGTTTTATTAATGCTATTTCTGGATGAGTGCTGGAAATTTTAGAGCAACCAATTCCAAATCAAAACCAGTACAGTTCCGCTAGTGAAAATCACTGAACAGAGACCTGGTCTGATGTTCAGGTGGCTTCTGTTTGAGGGGTTTAACCCTCCCTCACTAAACGTTTCTGCAGAGGAACTACTTGTCTGTCCACACCGCTGTAGCTTTGTCAGTTGAAGAAGCAAGTGTTCTTCGTTTCCTGTTTAACTTAAAGCTATCTGTAAATGGACTACGAGGAATTCTGGTTGCAGTGACAGAAGGAGGGTTCTCACTTGTGCCACACTTGGACTAGGTCCTGCTACTTGACAGGTCAGTGGACAAACCCATGACTAGCTCACATATGGAACCAGCCTACGACATCTGATGATGTTTGGACAGAAAGGGAGGTAGGGTCTGGAAGAAGCAAAAGGCAGGGAGAGAGTCTGTACAAAAGTTAATATGAAAAACAAGATGGAATTTAACTTTTAGGATTCCTTCCTATTTCATGTGAAGAGGATGGGCACACTACGAAACATTTTTAGAAACTAGTTTAGTAGTAGTTTTATGAAGTAATAAGATTTTTTATATATCTAAAACACAATAGCTACAAAATAAATTCTACATAACTATTACATTGCTGGTCATCTCCTTTACAAAGGATTATGGGCTAATAAATGCTGCAGAAGCAGCTTGCCAGGGCTAAGCCAGGTAAAGCGTTGTACTATGCTCTGATCAGTTATGCTTCTTTGTGGAGCTGTAATGAAAGTCTTGTTCAATCTTCAGACAACAACCTTTATAATGGCTTTTTATATAGAAAAGATGAAAAAGTAAGTCTCGCAGGGACAGTGCTAACCTTTCCTCTGAAGAAACTTTAAGACCACTGAACATGTGAAAAATCTGACAGGTGTATGTGCGCTTAGAAATAGTCGCCAAAACGATAAAAAGCTCAAGTAATCATATATGAATCGACACTTTCACAAACGTCACTTCAAAAATACTGTAAAAACATAGGTATTAAGAAAATCAGAAGAATGAAAGAGCTTACTCATGTTAATATCACATACTAATATAATTACAGTATGCCGTCAAAGAATCTAAGAATAAGATTTCCTGACTCTTTTAGTCATAATAAAGCCTCAGATGGAAAGCTCAAGAGTGAGACATTGAGATACATACCTCCTCTCTTTTTTTCATTTCCAATTTCCCACTTAGGTATAGCCTTGGAACCAGTAATCTGGGTAAGACCCAGTTTACCATCAGAAGTTCCGTACACAACTTCTTGTCCAGAATCACCTAAACACATAAACTGAATTTAGAATTTGCAAAATCAAGTACATCAATTAAAAAAATTTCTAAGTATTGCACAGTTACACTCTTCAGCCCAAGGGGAAAAGAAAACATGAACATTAGTGTTGTGTAAAAGAACTGTCAGGCTTTAAAACCAAAAATAAATACATGGAAACTGCACCTTTTCTGACAATTTCTTCATGGTTACTGCTCTTCTGTGTATGAATGTCCCCCTGCCCTGGAGCTGTGCCTAGAACCCATTCATAATCCAATAATTGAAATTTCAGCACAGAAATTAAATTGCCTTTACAGAAGAAAACCAAAGAGATTCATTCAGAACACACATCCAATAGCGAATGTTGTGCCAATATTTAAGCAAGTAAGAACCACCTTCCCAAACCAGCTCTGAATGTCGTCATCACATAAACTAACTGAAACTAAATTAAGCACCTCATTAAGCCACTAAAGCGATTTCTATTAGGTTAGAACAGATTAGCAAGAAGGATGATCAAACTATTTTAAGCTTGATCTTTCCACGGTCTCAGGTTACGTGAGCTCTACTCAATATTCTCATCCATCCGTGGATGGATGCAACAAGCGAGTCTATTTATGGGAATCCATGTGTAAGAGATACCCAAACCCAGAACTTCGACAAGTCCAGTTTGTGTGTGCACAATGGGACTGCCTTAGATCTCACTGCTCTTCTAAGAGACCAGTTAATTTAAATTAAATATGGATATAATTTAAAACTGTCTAAACCAGACATACACGTGTGTATAGATTCACTTGTATGTAAAAAATGACTTCACATCGTCAGCTTTCTGCATTTTTAACATTAGCTTAAAAATTAAGGCAAAATGCAATTAACAAATACATGCAATAAAATTCTTAAAATACAGGAAAATAACATTATTTAGTTATATGTATATTCAGAATTTCATTACCCCCATTTCCATTGTTTAGAGCAAGAACAGTAGGTGGTCCAGGAATTTCTACTTCATACAGTAAATCAGATCCCTAAAGCCAAAGAGAGCTACTTTGAGTTTTGTAAAAAAACCCAAGCAAATAAACAAAGAAGACCCCAAACAACCAAAACAACAAAATTCAAGCCACAAACCAAAATCCCACAAGCATAATGATAAAATTCTTATAGGTAACAGCAACAGATATGCTCCACGTATACAAACTTCCAATAGCTACGGGAGACCCATAAGCCAAAGCAGGGTGAAGTTCATAGAAATAAAACACAGGACATTTGAAGCATGCAATTACTAAAAATAATCTGTGAATGTGGCAAATAAATTTGTTAAACCACTTAGTATCACTCAGACTTGTCGCAATAGTGACTTATGAGAGCACAAATTTCCAAATTGCTGAAGATTTACACATTTAATTCCCTTATGTGAGCACTTTTAGTTAGAAGGGACCAATTTGTTCTCTACTTCTACTTCAAAGCCTATTTAGAGTGGTTTTATTAATCCTTATTTTGCAAGTTTATAAACATGATTTTCCTTTAAAAAAAAAAAAAGTGCCAGCAATATAGACAGTAAAACCACCAAGTAAGATAGAATATGCTTAACCTTAGAATGCTTAAACCAAGATGATATGCTGATTCCCTTAAGAATTTTATGGCATCAACACATAAAACATAAACAAGCCAAATATTTTAACCTGTAAAACTCTGAGGACTCTATCCTGACACGCAAGTACCGGCGTAATGCAATTCACTTTATCGACAGGAAGGCAGAGAACATCGTTGATTTTATCTCCTGAGAGGTAATAGTGCTGGTCTTTGCAGTCGCAGTAATGGTTATAGACATAGCCCGCACAAAGGAAGAGATCTGCTCCTGAAATGTGCCTGACAAAAAGAAAACACTCCAAGTAACGTTTTCCCAGTGTAGGTGCAATGATATTCTTCTAGCCTCACTATACAGCACACTGCCGCCTCCATCAGTGGGCCCTGCCAACTGTCCCAGCTATTAAAGAAAAAACAAAGTTTCTTATGAATGCTAAACCCATATGAATCCCATAGCTTGCAAATTTCCTACTTTGTCATCGTGCCAAATTTTAGGAAGACCATGTTAGATGTCATTAATATATTTTGATTATACTAATTCTTCTCAAGCTGGTTTATATATAGCAGCATCTTACAATGAGATCCCAACAGAAAAATAAACAATTTGTTCCTCTTCTGACACACTACGGCAGTAACTCCAGCTCTGCCCATCTGCTTTTGTAGTGATGTGACCCCTCCCGACCCCTCCCAAGCCTCCCTACACTTTCTAAATTTGACTGTGATTTTCCAACTTCTTTCCCACATGTCACAGCACAAGCTATAGCTGGACTGGCACTTAGTGTTACCTACGATAGGGTAAAAAAATTATTTCATAAAGTCAGTAACTAACAAACTGCTACAGCTATGACAAAAAACGCAGAACATCATACATACATAGCTTTGATGCTTTCAGTGAGGTTAGTTTCAAACGAAAGAAACTGCTTCCCTCTTTTTGTGAAACCTCTCACTTCTGATCCTGTAGCCACAAAAATTTTCTCTTGTGGTGTATTAAGAGCTCCTCCCAACTCCAGTCTTGTAATTTTTTGGCCTGGCAGTGTCTTGAACACCGGCTGTCAATAGAAAAGGAATTTTCACCATCACAATATCACATTTATGATAATCTTTTAACATAAAGTACAATAAATTTGCTTTAGGATTTCTGGCAAACTAAGAACAAGATGGATTATATGCAGACAAAAATAATCTGTAAATTTCTCTCCAGAATTAAAAACATGCATTTTATAAGTCAGTAAATATAAAAGCTGTAAAATGTAATAAATTAAGGTTTTATTATTTTCAGCGTTATTCATCCATAGGAAAACATCAGCACTGCTGGTAGCTAGGGGTTTTTTTGTTTGCAGGATGTTTATTTTAAAGAACACCACACACTCACTCCTCTCTTTGTTCAATTCTTATTCCAGGAGACTCCCCAGATTGCTCTGTATTGCTACAGAGCCAGCTACAAACTTCCTCACAGGGAAAAAAAAATAAATATTTTTTTATTAAGTTGGGCATAAGTCTAAAGCAATCAGTTTGCCAAAATCCCCTGAACTTAGTGAATCACTGCAGATTTTTGTCTAGTCATAGTAACCAAGTAGATGTACAACCTTGAGCCCAACTGAACTGCAAAGCAAAAGGTGATAAACTGACTTTTGTTGGGGATGACAGGCACTAGTGTCTGACTCTACACCTCTAGAGAACCACGTGCTTGCCCGGACATAGAACAGGCGTGCCCTCATCATGGCTCGGTGTGAGACCACAGCTGTACCTGGACACCTTCCACGGGTATCTTATTCCCCCTGGCAATAAAAACAGACTTTGAAAATTCATTAGAAAGATTATTTAATAAATAAAATTTCAAATGCAGCATTTGCACTTACCACAGGTTCCCCTTTTTTAATGCCAAAACATGTAATGACCCCATCCTGATCTCCAACAACCACCTTCAAAAGTATAATACATTGTTATTTTTTTCTGTGCATAAATATTCTTTTTAAAATGCTTTTCTTCTCTTATTTTCCTGTATTCATGCAGCTCAAATTTTACAGTGCTTAAACTACACATTTATATGGGAGTATGCTTTAGAAAACTAGATAAGCTGCTATAGATAGAACACTAAAGCCTAAGAACAACAGTTTAAGTGACAGTATATACAATTGCTTTTCTGCTTCTACTCGTAAATGCCAGCTACCATCACAGGGAACACTCCAGAGACGCATGTTTGGGAATATTTTCATATTAAGAGTGTAAAGAAAACAAAATGCACTGTTATATCCGTAACACTTTCTAACTAAGTTTACTTAGCTCGAACTTGTATTAAGGAAAATTAAAAAAAAATTAAAAAATTCATCGATATTCACATAACCCCAGGATGGTTTGGGTTGGAAGAAACCTGAAAGAGACCTGCAAGGTGATCTGGTTCCAAAGCCATGGGCAGGAACACCTCCCAGGTTGCTCCAAGCCCACTGCCAGGGATGGGGCTCCCACAGCTTCTCCGGGCAACCCGTGGCAGCGTCTCGCCACCCTCACGGTGAAGAATTTCTCCATAATATCTGATCTAAATCTCCCCTCGGGCAATTTGGAACCGTGACCTGCTGCCCATCTCCCCTGCATCCCCAGGTAAACAGGGCAATGGTGCTCTAGGGCCTCTTCTCCGAGCCGAAGGGCCCAGCTCTCCGGGCCTGCCCTCGCAGGGCAGATGCTCCGCGGGCCGGCTCAGCAGAGCCGACACACACACACACAAACACTCGGTAACCTGGCTCTGGTTCGGGCAATGCTCGAGTTTAGAAAGCTCCTTCTTACTTCTGACGGGGTTCTAGAAACAAACCCAGACTTTTTTCTTTTCTCCCCTCTACTTTTGCGGAAGAGTTCCCAAAATTTGGTCTCAATTTCTTTCCCCTGACGCCCACTGACTGAGCA